GCCAGGATCACAGTTGGAATGCAATTTGTATCACCCCGCATGGGACAGGAGCCAGCAATACAGAGGAGTTATCGGCTTATGCAACTCATGTTCCCCATTACAGCTCCAACATTACAAGTAGTCCTTGCTATGGAAGATGGACCACTCATGTAAAAAGCGTCAAAAACATCTTTCTCAGTGCAAGGGGCTATCTCACCTATCACAAGTACAAGCTTCACACCAGGCTGCTTGTTAGAACTCCATTACTCTTGGTAATGACTTTGCTGACTACATACCCCAATGTGCCTTAACTGACCCATGCTATAGACCGGGGGTCAGCAACCAGTAGATTGTGGCCAGGTGTTTGGTAGATTGTGATCTGGGCTTGCTGACCTGGCATCCCAGGGCATCAAACCGAGTGCAATTCAGAGGGACCACTTGTAAAGTTGGAGCTGTAGTAGGGAGCAAGAGCTGCATAGGCCAATGGCTCCTCTGCAGTGCTGGTTCCTTCCCCATGCGGAGTGATACCAACTGCATTCCACCTCTTATCCTGACTAGCCATCTTCCGAGAGGTGCCCGCAATAAGAAAGAAGAGATCTTCATGTCAGTGTGAAGCAAAACACTAGGCATAATAGTATAAGCCTACAGTTTAGTTTACCCGCAGTTTTCCTGCAGGTAAACTAAACTTTACTTGAATAGGGCATGATTGGCAGGCATTAGCACCCACCAAAAACAGTGGGTTTAATTTCCTACTGCAGCATGTGTACACCTTTTGCAATGCTGCTTCAGCAGCTAAAGGGGGTAGAGATTGGGGTGGTACAACTGCGACTCAACCACAGGGTTTTCCCACCAAACTTTGTGTGAATGAGTCCTAAGGGTGCTGCTGCCCGCAGCTAAGGGCTTGTTCACAAGGAGGCAATGGAGGCAATATGTTGCCTCTATCACCCGATTTAAACCCATGAGTGCTGTGCACATGATTGTGACACCGTAGAGGTCTAAATCAAGTGTGAGGAGGCAACACTATGGCTGGGGATCTTTAACTTCTTCCATGTTGTTCAGGTAGATCTCTACCTCTTTAAGGTTGCCTACCTCTGCATTACAGGTTGTGAGGGTAGCAGAGATACAGTGACCAGGTGCACTGGGCATAGGCTTAGAATGTCCCTCCTAAATGCAACAGTCTACATTGAAGGTGTGCATTGACACAGGGACAAGAGAGTAAACTGGACAACGGTTTATTTTCAACTGTGCACAGTGTAGGGCAGCTTTTCTCACCCTTTTCAACACAGAGGACCCCTAAAAATAACTTTCTGGTTTTAGGGAACCCATGCTAAAAATTACTATATCTACAACTCTTGATATGTTAGTGTGATGGTGATTGAAAATAATTACCCCCTTACAGATAGCTCAAAATATCAATGATGTCAGTGGACCCATATCTGAGAGGCAAAACTTGCTCAAGGAACCCCTAGCAACCTGTGGTGGAATCCTGGATGAGAAACCTTGGTGTAGGGCCATCTCTAAGGTCAGAGGTCCAGCTTAAGGTTGAGTATTCCCTGCAAACGGCCTCAAGCTTGTCGCGGGGCATTGAAGGATGTGGCACAAATAAAGGTACCCCATGTGCGCCTAGCATAGCTTATAAAAACCTGAGGGGGTAGACCTCCTGGCATCAGTCCCTATCATGGCACGGTGCTACATCATGTGTAATATCTCTTATCCCTGTCCACTATAAGCGGTCATGGACACCGCTACAACAGATGTATTTTACGGTGTATGGCCCAATGTCCCAGTTCACATATATACTTATTGGGATGCACTTTGAACCACATCTGATTTGCATGACATGAACCAAAATGCTTTTCTATGGGGCGAGTTCCTATACACTATAGTGCCAAAAGTATTGGGACGTCTGCCTTTACATGCACATGAACTTTAATGGCATCCCAAGCTTAGTCCGTAGGGTTTAAGTGTAGGTTCACACCTATGTATTTTCCACTGCGTTTTGTAGAAACTCACTACAGTCCATTTAACATGATTTCAATGGGACAGGTTCACATGTCCAAGTTTTAACCCAGTGTGTTTTTTGGAAAGGGTCAGAGACTTTTTTTTTTAAATGCAAAATGTTGCGTTTTTGGTTCTATAGACTTAAATGGAGATGCTGCAGAAAGGCATATAGTGTGTTTTTAATCTATCTAGCAACAAGGAAAAAAAGCATCAAATGTGTCAAACGCATATGCAAAATGCACTGCACAAACGGATCAAACACAAACTGCATAGGTGTGAACCTAGCCTAATATTGAATTAGCCCACCCTTTGCAGCTATAACAGCTTCAGCTCTTCTAGGAAAGCTGTCCACAAGCTTTAGGAATGTGTCTATGGAAATGTTTGACCATGCTTCCATAAGCGCATTTGTGAGGTCAGGCACTGATGTCAGACAAGAAGGCCTGGCTCACAGTCTCTGCTCTAATTCATAACAAAGAAGTTCTATCGGGTTGAGGTCAGGCCAGTCAAGTTCCTCCATCCCAAACTCGCTCATCCATGTCTTTATGGACCTTGCTTTGTGCACTGGTGTGCAGTCATGTTGGTTGGAACAGGAAGAGGCCATCCCCAAACTGTTCCCACAAAAGTTGCGACTATGAAATTGTCCAAAATATCTTGGTATGCTGACACCTTAAGAGTTTCCTTCACTGGAACTAAGGGGCCAAGCACAACCCCTGAAAAACAACCCCACACCATAATCTCTCAAACGTTACACTTGGCACAATGCAGTCAGTCAAGTACTGTTCTGGTAACCGCAAAACACGTCCATTGGATTGCCAGACAGAGAAGCACGACTCGTCACTCCAGAGAACATGTCTCCACTGCTCTAGAGTCCAGTGGTGGTGTGCGTTAGACCACTGCATCTGATGCTTTACATAGCACTTGGTGATGTACGGCTTGGATGCAGCTGCTCGCCCATGGAAACCCATTCCATGAAGCTCTCTATGCACTGTTGTGCTAATCTGAGGCCACACGAAGTTTGGAGGTCTTTAGCTACTGACTCTGCAGACAGTTGGCAACTTCAGTGCACTGTGTGCTTCAGCATGCGCTGACTTTGCTCTGTCTTTTTATGTGGCCTACCACTTTCCTGGCTGAGTTGCTGTTGTTCCTAGTTCATGGATGGACTTATTGCACAGGTGACAACCTATCATGGTACCATGCTTGAATTCACTGAGCTCCTGAGAGTGACCCATTCTTTCACAAATATTTGTAGAAGCAGTCTGCATGCCTAGGGTGCTTGATTTTATACACCTGTGGCCATGGAAGTGAATGGAACACCTGAATCCAATGATTTTTCAGGGTGTCCCAATACTTTTGGCAATATAGTGTATGTGTGGACTGGGCACAATGCAATTTCAAAGAGACCACTGCAATTTTCAGCTTGGTTCAGGTGTGATATCCAGTGTCATACACTTTAACAATTCTCACCGGAACTGTTGAACGAAGTCACACCGAGCAGAGCTTGAAATTGCCCTGCAAACAGGCCCCACGCCTATGTGAACACAGGCTATAGGACGGTTGTGTGTAGGAGCCCTCAGGGAATGAAGGGATGGATGGCAAAAAAACTAAAAGGGGCTTAAACCATACTCTATTGACTCTAGTCAGTTACTGGCAGCTAGACCTCAATTGCCCAACGGATAAAATTCAAAACACTAACAATAACGTATAAAGCCATTTATAACTCTGCCCCCCAAATTACATCACCAAACTTGTCTGCAAATATCACCCAAAACGTACTCTCCGCTCTTCACACAACCTACTACTCTCTAGCTCCCTTGTCTCCTCCTCCCATGCTCATCTCCAGGACTTTTCCAGAGCTTGCCCCATCCTCTGGAACTCTCTACCCCAATTTATCAGACTATCGCCTACTCTGCTCACTTTTAGGCGATCTCTGAAAACCTATCTCTTCAGGGAAGACTATCCTGCCCTCAGCTAATAATGGAATCTTCTACTCTTCCAACCAGTCCATCCCCCACAGTTACTACCTTTTTTTACCACTAGCCCCTCCCTCCTAGATTGTAAACTCCAAGGAGCAGGGCCCTCCTATCCCTCTTGTATTGAACTGTATTGTTGCTGTATTGTCTCCCGTTATATTGTAAAGCGCTGAGCAAACTGTTGGCGCATATAAATCCTGTATAATAATTTTTTTTTTTTTATTCTAGCAGTGGACTGTTGCTATCAGAGTAAGTAGAAACCTCCAATTCTAGGATCCACTTGTGGAGACAAAGGACACCTTAGGCTACCCCCATCTCTCTGTATAACCCAGGGGCGGACTGACAACTCATGGGGCCCCCAGGTAATAGGGGATCATGGGGCCCGTGTCCTTGCCCAAACTCAAAAAAGCCTATGAAAAAGGTACCAGGGGCATTGCATGGGGCCCCCTACTGACCCCGGGCCCTTGACAATGCCCGAGTTTCCAAATGTCAGTCCGCCCCTGTAACCTGTTCACTACACAGGCTCTGTCCACAGTACAAGCAGCTCTGTCACTCTTCTCCCTGGACTAGAGCTTTTGAAATTTGAAAGAATTCCTCATTCCCGCCTAAAATCTGTTACCATCTGGAATGACGTCTGTCCGTCTGGCCACGCCTTTCTATTTCCAGTAGCGAATCAGGGGCCGCCCCCCGGAGTCTCCGCCCGTTTCAGGAAGCTCCACGGAAACCGAGGGCTCGGCTGTGCTGTACCGACACACCGACCGGGGTAGACGGGACCGGAACCTGGCTGGCCGGGGGATGAGAGCGGAACGGCGGGCTGTGAGGTGTCATAGAACGGGACGGCGGCTCGGGCACGGCTGGAGCGGGGGTGTGAGCGGTGGGCGTATCCTGGGCGGGGCTGTGAGGCTGCTCGGTGTCAGTTACATGTATTGTGTAGGGAAATAATAGTTCCTCCGCGGGCTGACACACAGCGGGCGGCCCCTCAGCCTCATCTCCAGTGACAGCTCGGATCCCCCTGGAGAGCACACAGCTCGTCACTGACATCACGGGCCCATGGAGCAGCTGCCCACCAACCTCCAAGTCCTGCTGCAGGCAGCCGAGTACGTGGAGAGGAGAGAGAGGGGTAAGCAGCAGCAGCCACAGCAGGGTTCCTGCACCCGGATCAGGCAATGGGCCTTCAGTGGGAGAGGCTGCCGTGGCCAATCAGGTTCTCCTTTTCATGCTCTGCTATGATAAAAGCAAGAACCCGATAGGTGGGAAAGCATTGCACAGGCCTGATGGCCTTATATGCACAGACAGTGCAGCCAGATCCCGAGCATTGATTGTTTATCCAATCAGGGCATCCTTTTCAAGCTCTTCAATCTCAAAAGCAAGAATCTGTTTGGTTGCAATGAATAGAGTAGGCCTGATGTGCACAAGCAGAGCATCCAGTATGGGCCTTGCTTGTTTCTATTGGCAGCAGTGAGCCATAGCAGAGCCCCAGACATTCTCCTGATTATTGTACTGCTGATCAGGAATTCTTCTTGCTCCATAGTAAAGGAAACCTCCTTATATAGCCTGGCCCTCATCATTCCCCTAAGAGATCTGTGTGTCTACACTAAGATGCAGATTTTGTGTGGCACATATAAAGGGGACTTTTTTTTTTTTTTTTATCTGTGGAGAAAAGGAGTGATCAGCATTGGTGACAATGTCATAAAATGTAGGAAAATCTGTAGAGGGCTGATGAGCACTTGACAGGCTGCTATTTGTTTTACTGGCCTAGTGTGATCATCTGATTGTATTTCCTGTGCACAATCTATAGCACAGCGTTCCCCTGCATAACATATCCTTGTTTACGTCTGTTTTGGAGACCATCCCGTCACTCCTCCCTCTGACTTGTGGGACACCCTCCTCCGTCAGATTTCTTTGTGTGTTCTCTATCCGCCCTCCCTTTCATATACTCATCTCGTTCTCTTCTTCTGCGGTTGGTACTGCTAAGACACTGTGCATTATTTTTACCATTCCTGTCTGTCTTACTGCTAAGTCCCTTTATTGCTTAGAAGGTAAGTAAATGACATGGTAAGGAAATATATTCTGATTTTTAGTAGCCAACAAACTGTTGAATTTTCTTAAAGAAGAAATCCAGGCAAATGTTTTATTTTTCCATGCAGTGGAACTGTGCCCCACTCAGCGCAAGACCAGTGCCCTCATGCTAGCGGTCTTGTGAATGGGCTGTTTCTGACGTCATCACGCCCATAGACCAGCTCCAGACTTGAGGGCAGCAGGAACAGTCCATTGCTGGATGTGGGGGAGCACAGTTTTCCGGAAGATTGGAGGAATAGGTAAGTATAGCTTTACCCTGAGCCCCTAGGCAAAACAAGCACTTAGCCCATGCAATACGGGCACAGCCCCACTGCGTGGGAAAATAAATTTTTTAACCGAAGATCTGCTTTAAAGTGGTTGTAAAGGTTAATTGTTTTTAAATCTAAAATAAACATTATATTTACCTGCTCAGTTAATGGTTTTGCACAGAGAATCCCCAATTCTCCTTTTTTTGGGTCCCCCGCTGGCGCTTGTGGCCACTCCCTCTTGCCAAGCTGCTTGTGGTAGGGGCACTCCTGTGTGCTCGCTCCCGAGCCACTCTGTGTGTCTATAGTACACACAGATTGTGGCTCAGTCCTGCCCCTGCTCCTTTCTCACTTGCTCCCACTGCTGTGTCCCAGCCAATGAGGAGAGAGAGAGACTCAGGAGAGCTGAGGCTCCTGTGCACATTGCTGGATCAAGATCGGGCTCAAGTGAATATTAGGGGGGCTGCACACAGTTTTTTTACCTTCATGCATAGAATACATGAACGTAATAAACCTTTACTCTTTACAACCACTTACTGGTATCATGTTGCTGCGGCTCAGGGCCCATTCACATCATATGCACTGGGCAGCCCTAACACATAGACAAGGCAATTTGCCTTATGTCCTATTGTGCTGTGTTGGTGCATCCTGAAAAAAAAAAAAGTAGGATCTACTGCATTTTTGCACTAGACTTTCAATGCATTCATAAAGTTCTATGAAATATAATTTTGTGACATTTTAATAATTAACAAAAAAAAACCCAACATCGTAGCATTGCTCCTACATAGTGCAGACCAATAGGATTGTCTTTTAAAGTGCATATTGTGCTGTGTGAATGGTCCCTGATATCACAGTTCTTAATGTGGACATTTTTCTAAATTTCACATCAACATGCATGTCTGCACGCTGATATGAAATCGCACTACATTTTTCTGTTAAATTTTGTTTTGTTTTTTTCTTTTGCTTATCCACTGGTTCCCCTGAAGGCAGTGATGACATGGCCGCTGACTACATAGATGCCCCTGGAAAGGGAGCATCATTATTGCCTTCGATAAAGTGTGTGATATCATGCTCTTTATCTCTTGCATGCACTGTATCACAGACATTTTCATAATGATAGCGTGGGAACAGGGACTGAGGCAGGACAACAATGGGTAAATATGGGGAAAAAAAGTCACAAGGATATAGGTATGTATCATTGATTACCCCCCCCCCCCCCCCCTTTCATTTTCAACAGGCTTATAGAATAGGGGAAGGGAAGTGGGGTCAGTGGGCAAAAGGCTACAAGGAAAGTCACATGTAGTTTTTTGGAAAACTGCTTTTTAGATGTTTACGCATTTACATGGCATTCACTGTGGCTTGTTTATAGATCTGTAGTCTGGGCATTTGTCCCTGAATACATAGGGCCCTAAACATGGGTACCACTTGGTTTGGTGTTCAGCCCCATCCAACTGCAGCCTGCAACAGACTTTGACAGTGTATGCACTGGGGCTGGATGCTGCACCTGCCCCTCCTGGGCACATTAAGACACTGGGAGGGATGCACAGCAGCAAGGGTCCTAAAACCAAAATTCAGGCTATACACACAGATACACTACATATGTGAGGGTAGTCCTGAGATTTATACAGCTTTGCCACACAGACCATCCCTGTCTGGCAGGGCAGATCGTCCCTCCCCCAGGTTGTGATTGGGCAGTGAAAGGAAACAGACTGATGAGATCCTCTCTTATCTCTTTATTCTGCTCTCTCCTATCAGTATGTCTCCTGTTAGCAGGTGAGCACACACTGCAGCAACAGATTGATGCCTTGGGTTGTTTCTTCTTCTCGCAGTCTGAGCTCTGTTTGTACAGGGACTGCTAGAGGCTGATGCCAGGTAAAATTCAGATACATACCCTGCTTGCATTAAAAGAATACATTTAGGGCCTGTTCATGCCACTGGCTGTGCTGGAATGCAGCCGCAATAGTAGAGCCAATGTACTGATCTCAGCGCATCACACTGTATAATTTTTTTGTTTTTTTAAAGCAAATTTTATTGAAATGTAACAAGTCAGTATTAAACCAAATATGTAATATATCGCAGCTTCCCAATCAATAGATGTGGTGACTGCATTCGGAAGGCCTAAAAAATAAAACTAATGCAGCCATCACATCTAAGATTTGGTAAGCTGCAATGTAATAAATATTTCCTTATGGATTTAATACCTCTTCAAGTTGTATTGGCTGCAGCGGTGGATTGTGGTACAAAAAATATACTGCATGCCAAACTGGTAGGAGACAAAGCATTCTGCCCAGCACATTGCCAGCACGCCTGGTATGAATGGGCCCATAGTGATGTATAAAGTGGAACTAAAGTTTGCAGGTACTCACTTCTTACTGGCGTTTTCGAGGTGAAGGTCTTTGGCCATCCTCATTGACCATCAGGGGTCAAGACGAGCTCCTGTGCATGTACTCTGGAGTAATTTACCCCAGAAAACATGCACCGTTCCGGAAATGTACACTGAGCTAAGCAGGCACAGTTCAGTGTACATTCAATCGAAGATTGCAGACAGACACATTAGTTTGTTTTATTGCAGAAGGGACATAGCATGTCTGATCATAATGTTTTTAAATGTAAGTTTAGTTCCACTTTAAAGGATACGTTCACCCATAGTAATATGTTACACCCATATTCAGGATGTAACATGTTACTAAAGCAGCAGCCTCACAAGCCCCCCATTCCCCCATTATGACAGTGGGCAGGGGATCCTCTCCCCGCACCCGCTGGCACAATTTAAAAATAGCACAGCTATGTGAGGCTCCACTCACACAGCCACATCATTTATTCACAGCAATCTGTGAATGAATTACTGTAAGTATCGTCTGCCATCGTGGCAGATGGCTTGTAGTTCTCAATGAACTATGCGCGTGCTGGTGAACACTCTCGTAGTTCATTGGACTTCAGCAGCTGTCTCTATGAACAAGAAGTATGGACAGAGAGCTGTACGAAGATTCTACAGAAGCCTGACATTGCACCTAAGATCTGCTGATAAGGTGAACTTATCCTTTAATGGTTACAAAGCTGCATTCATTGTGTTGTTCTGCCTGGAGCTCAGATTGAAAGTGATCAGCTGCTAGGAAAAAAAAGGTTTAAAATGCCCAGTCTGTATAGGAAAGGACGTATACAGTTGCAAGAAAAAGTATGTGAACCCCTTGGGATTACGTGGAGTTTTGCATGAATTGGGCATAAAATGTGCTCTGAACGTCATCTAAGTCACAACAATAGAAGAACACAGTCTGCTGAACATAATACTACACAAACATTAGATGTTGCCATGGTTTAATTGCACATAACATGTAAACATTCACAGTGCAGAGAGGAAAAAGTATGTGAACCTTTGGGCTTAATAACTGGTTGACCCTCCTTTGGCAGCAATAACCTCAACCAAACGTTTCCTGTAGTTGCAGATCAGACCTGCACAACGATCTGGAGTAATTTTGGACCATTCCTCTTCACAAAACTGTTTCAATGTAGCAATATTCTTGGGATGTCTGGTGTGAATCACTCTCTTAAGGTCATGCCACAGCATTTCAATCGGGTTGAGGTCAGGACTTTGACCTGGGCCACTCCAGAAGGCGTATTCTGTGCTGTTGTAGCCATTGTTTTGTTGAATTACTTGTATGCTTTGGGTCATTGTCCTGTTGCATCACCCATCCTCTGCGGAGCTTCAGTTGGCGGACAGATGGTCGTACGTTTTCCTGCAAAATGTCTTGATAAACTCTGGAATTCATTTTCCCATCAATGACAACAATCTGTCCAGGACCTGAGGCAGCAAAGCAGCCCCAAACCATGATGCTCCCTCCGCCATGTTTTACAGTGGGGATGAGGTTTTGATGTTGGTGTGCTGTGCCTTTTTTTCTCCACACATAGTGTTGTGTGTTCTTCCCAAACAGCTCAATCTTGGTTTCATCTGTCCACAGTATATTTTGCCAGTAGTGCTGTGGAACATCCAGGTGCTCTTTTGCAAACTTCAAACATGCTGCAATATTCTTTTTGGACAGCAATGGCTTCCTCCGTGGTGTCCTCCCATGTACTCCATTCTTGTTTAATGTGTTCCTTATTGTAGATGTGTCAACAAAAATGTTAGCATGTGCCAGAGATTTCTGTAGGTCTTTAGCTGACACTCTGGGATTCTTCTTTACCTCATGCAGCATTCTGTGCTGTGCTCTTGCAGTCATTTTTACAGGATGACCACGCCTAGGGAGAGTAGCAACAGTGCTAAACTTTCTCCATTTGTAGACAGTCTGTCTTACCGTGGACACATGAAATCAAGGCTTTTGGAGATACTTTTGTAACCCTTTCCAGCTTCATGCAAGTCAACAATTCTTGATCGTAGGTCTTCTGAGAGCTCTTTTCTGCGAGGCATGGTTCACATCAGACAGTGCTTCTTGAAGCCAGTAAACCCAAAACAGGTGTGTGTTTTTTAAGGGCAGGACAGCTGTCAGCAACACATCCAATATCATCACACTGATTGGAGTCAAGGTTGGCTCACTCCTGGCTCCAATTGGCTCTGGGAGAAGTCATTAAGCTAGGGCCTCACATACTTTTTCCTCCCTGCACTGTGAATGTTTACATGTTATGTGCAATTAAACCATGGCAACATCTAATGTCTGTGTAGTATTATGTTCAGCAGACTGTGTTCTTCTATTGTTGTGACTTAGATGACGTTCAGAGCACATTTTATGCCCAATTCATGCAAAACTCCACGTAATCCCAAGGGGTTCACATACTTTTTCTTGCAACTGTACCTATTGCTTTCTACACTGAGGTTATCACTGTGTTGCAGAGATAAACCTGCTGCAGTATAGTTCCATCTACTGTCCCTATGTCATTACAGTATTGATGAAGGGACAACCCCACAAGTGTGTCGGATGCTGATTTTTGAGCCACTTTGCAGCAGACCTAATTTCTTTTCATGACTGGGCTTTTTTTTAATCTTTTGTAGTTCTAGCAACAGAGTTAATCTGGGTATACGCCATGTAGAATTGTGTTTTTTTTTTTTTTTTTTTTTTTTTTTTTTTTTTTTTTTTTACCAGGTGGTTGAACGAATAAAACTCACAGATCCATGCAAGCAATGTGGATGCAAGGATCTGACCTGCTGCACTATTGTATTCTGACATCAATGAAGGGGAGTATAGGTGGTTGACGGGTTGTTCTTACAAGTGAACCTGTCACTTGCTCTGAATAGGCAAAATAACAGATTCTCTTGAATAATTTTCTTTTGCCAAAAAAGGAAAGAAATCTATTCTGTACTGTCAACACAAGATGGTACTACTGTCATGGACTTGATTACTGGAAACAATTTTGCTCTAGTCGCGTTTCTTTTTTTTATGTATTCTAGTATATAAAATGTTCCTTTTTAGTCAGATTTTGAGCATTGGAGACTTTTATTTTTAAACACTTGCTGTACATGATGCCTAGTTTCCAAAACACTTGAAAACTATATATTTAATTTATCCCTGATTATGTAAAAATGACTGTAACAAGGCTTTCTTTTTCTTGCAGAAGCTGAACATGGATATGCCTCCATATTGCCTTGCAATACTGCCACTCCTGGGAGAAGAAAACGACAGAGAACAAACAGCAATCCAGACAGCATTAGGTGAGCATCCCCAGAAATGGCACATTATGCAGCTTGTATAATCAGGCACTGAGTGATCGAGCACCACAGGCTCTCGTATTCTAAATTTCTATGTCTGTCCTGAGCCAGTAGTAAATAGGGAAAATTTAGGATGCAGTCCTTGTTCATTTTGCAGCACAAGGCAAAAGCCTCTGTAGATGTTTGTGTACTAATTTAGTGTTAGTGGCCATTTCCAGTTTCTTCATTTTGTATCGTCGATTAAAGGATAAATCACCTTTCGTTACATGGTACACCCATATTCAGGGTGTAACATGTTTTGATCAGACCATCCCCCGATCCCTGCTTTGACAGCTAGCGGGGGATCTTCTTCCCCCTTGCTAGCTGTCAAATTAAAAAAAAACGTGGATGTGTGGGACTGCCCCCACACAGCCGCGTCACTCATTCACAGTTATCTGTGAATGAGAGACTAGGTCTCAACAGCCTTAGTGGCTGTCAGCTTGTAGTCCTTAATGAATTACCACGGCGCTGTGGTAGTTCATTCCTGTCCGTATATTTGCTTCCTGTCAGTATATTTGCTTGCTCCTACATCCCGTACAAGCAAGCAGATATTTATTTCAGGTACTTATATAGCACCATCAATTTACGCAGCGCTTTATATATATATGTTGTACATTCACATCAGTCCCTAACCCTCAAGGGGTGTACAATCTAAGGTCCCTAACTCACATTCATACATACACATACTAGGGCCAATTTAGACAGGATCCAATTAACCTACCAGCATGTCTTTGGAGTGTGGGAGGAAACCGGAGTACCCGGAGGAAACCCATGCAGGCACAGGGAGAACATGCAAACTCCAGGCAGGTGACGCCATGGTTGGATATACTGATAGATCTGCAGGAGAGCTGCATGGCTTTAGCAATCTGCTGATCGCTGGTGGAATGGGTTAAAGGCACCTGCAGACAAAAATAATAAATGCACTTTTTTTTTTTTTACCTTAAAAAAAAAAAAAAGTGCATTTATTTTTTACTAAAAGGTGAGCTTATCCTTTAAAGGACAAAGGAATTCATAAAGTTTGTTTATGCTGCCACCATTAGGAGGATTAGATAGTAGATAACAGAAAAGTTATAAGCCAGCCCCAGTATAACCCCTCCTTTACCCAGCATGCTCAGTTTTTTCTATAGTGTCCAGGAAGATAGATGTCTGTTGCCTGCTCTGCTGAGAAAAGTCTTTTTTTTTTTTTTTTTTTTCAATCATGTTTCCTCTACAACCTGTTTGAGCTGGTTTACATATGCAGTTATTTGATTTAGCAATTGCTCAACCATAGCTTTAGAATCTGTACCCAGACCCTGCTGGATTGGTTGACTGTAGGGTTTGGCTGCACTAGTGCACTAGGTTCTGCATTGTTGCCCCTTCCACTGCCGCAGGGCACTTTCTGGGTCAAAGATATGGCACAATCTCTGAGGACTCACTTTGGACATTATGGGGTTTATTTACTAAAGCTGGAGAATGCAAAATCAGGCTCACTTCTGCATAGAAACCAATCAGCTTCAGGTGTTTTTGCCTAAGCTCAATTGAAGAAGCTGAGGCTAGAAGCTGATTGGCTACCATGCACAGCTGCACCAGATTCTGATTGCTCCAGTTTTAGTAAATCTACCCCTATGAGTCTATCCAGAAATGTAACCTTTGGGCGCAGGGCTCTGCTTTGTGAGCTTTTGCAGATTTTTGTGTACTGTGTAAGTTAGCTGCAGGACATGTTTTGGGTCTTTAGCGGTTACACAGGCCTATGTGTGACCCTATCTCTGAAGACTCGCTTAGCTTGACAAGAATTACTCACTGAAGCGTCAGAAGCTACCTCGCTGTTTACATCCATGAGCACCTTTTTAAATCCCCATTGCCACAGATTTTACCTTGGTAAGAGTTAAGGCTGAAGGATAGGTCACTAATGTTATCTGCTGGCTGGAGTGCTGCACCCTCCGTGCTCTTTTTTTTTTTTTTTTTTTTTTTTTCCCCACATTAATCCTGGAGGAAGCACCACCTTGGTGCTGCTCCTGAAGCACCACATGGATCTCCAGTATGATTCCACTGGCACCTACATTGACTTGGTCACTTCTGGTTGCCTGAAAATCAGCACCAGTTCCCTTTATTTGTGAGTACTTGAGGCCTTGCCCCATCTTTGACCTAGTTTCTTATGGCCATGTGGCACAACATGTATTCTCCGAGACTAACAGAAGAAAGTCCTGCTTTCATGGATGACCTCAGACTAAGTGTGTGGCTCTGGGGGCATTTACCCTGTTTACCTAGATGGAACCCGAGACCCCTGTTATAAGGTTGTCATCTGTAGCATCTACTTCAGCTCTGTTGAGCGGAGCTGAGACTTCCCCTATGCTTTCAGGGACTCTTTATATCTATCATGAACGACTTCATGCTCTCTGGTGCTATTACCTACACAGTCTCTCTGTCCCTCCACACCCCATAAATAATTTCAGGCCTGCGGTTTCTGTTATCGTCTCTGATACCGCCTATATTGGGAGAGGCTGTTTTGGGGTTCACAGCAGTCTCCTAGTCTCCTGCTGTTTACTCATTGGGCTGCTTCTGACCTTATTAATGCAGTGCATATCGCTGTTGTATCTGAGATGTCAACCTGTTGTTTCAGACCTTGGGTCTTTTATAGCTCCAAAGACTTTAAGGCATTACTTTATGTGAAGTGTAAATGCCCTGAAGGGTCCTCGGCCCCACCTGGGAATGGGCCAGAACAGTTCTCCTTTAAGAAGGGATTTACAAGTTGGTGGTCGGTGCCCTCAGGTGATGTACTAGTGAGATACCATTAAAGGGTCGAAGGTATACTCTCCTTTCTGGACTTAACTGACAGGAAGTTGAATTTTCTTCTTGGATCCCAGCTTGAATTGACTGGTTTGGCCCTCCGTCCTGTGTTGACAGTAACTTTGATTGGTAGAACCAAATCAGAATGGTTAGAAATCCTTAGAGGGGATCCCTCCACCACTGGGTAGGCCTATGTTATGTAAAACAGTTGGAGTGTCTGGAGCCTTGTGCTTTAGTTGTAAGCCTCTGGACTTCTGTCTCGCATAGAACTGATGTCTGTGCAAATGCACAGGGCACTCTGGTTATGTATGTGGGACACTGATCACTGCCATCTAAAGAACAACTCGGTTAACCCTTTGTCAAGAGCAGGTCCTAAGAGGCAACATCTTCCTCACTGTCATTAGGAATGCCATGGTGGTGCTCAAATGTACTTTTACCTGAGCACAGGAGATCTGTGAAGGGTTCAGAGGAAGCCCAGCCTTGTCCCTCCTCTGCTTTAGCAGTAAGTACTCGGACCTTCTGAGCTACGCTCAGGCTATAGGGTCTGATGCCAGGTGTAAACTAAGGCTAATTTCACACTAGCTTTGTTAGCAGGTGTTAGACAGGCATTTGGGAACGCTCCTCAAACGCCTATGAAAATTCTACACATGGCAGCACACAGTGCCATTCACACTGAAGCGTTAGCGTCGCATCGCGGCAAAATTGATGCCTCATGTTGAGTTGGGAGGAGTTGAGCCTCCCATTCAAGACTATGGTGACGCTCCTCAAACGCCTGGAAGGCTTAATTCTTCTGTTAAGCCTTCTACATTAGAGTGCGCCCCCACTTCTACTAGTGGAAGGTTGTTTGTACATCTGGATGCGTCCCTGTGGTATTTGGTTGCTCAAGATACCCCTTTTAGTGCACACGCTAACTTTTTGGATACAGCATCTTATTCAGCTCCACCTCACCATGTCTCTTATGCTGCTGCACATGACTGTATCTACCCAGGTTTCCTTGGGTTGCTGGGATCCCTCGTTCCTGTTCTAGTGGGTACTTTCCCTAAGGAGTTATCTCCTACAAAGACTCTCATTTCCCTGTTGACAAGAATTCTGCATTCTTGGATAATGTTGATCCACTCATAGTACTGTGCACAGCTCAGTATTTCTCTCACCCAGAGAGGGAACATCCAAATCACAGAGTCAGCCTGTACCGGTTTAGTGCTTTTTCTTGGTATCCCCACTACAGACCTTAGACAGTCTTCCTTGTGGAGGGTTCGCTTTTTGGAATCTTGCAGCCAGAATTATTTTGAAGAAAACTTTGACCAGATTGGAGCCTTACAGTTTCCTAGTGTCACTGACAAAGGCTACATCTTGTAGGTCATTGGATGTTTCTTTAACTAATTGGCAATTTCCTCTTTCCAGTTTGGGGGTGTGTTGGGTACTGAAAGTTTGCCCTCCCAACATTGTTTGTTTGTCCTGCTCTTGACTCTTTGTCTTTACCTTTGGAATTTCACTGTGACAGGGCAAGTGACCTGGTTCCTATGCTGTTCTTAACCTCATGGGCTTCCTTAGAGACACTATATTGCTTTCTGGCTTTTTTTAGCTTAAAGTTTTTACATTTTGGTGAAAGAGGTTTGTGCATCTAGGTGCACCCCATGTTTTACATGGCCTTATGTTCCCCTAGATTGTCAGCAGACAGCTTATGCTGGAAACCTATTGGGATAGTGCACTCTTTGAAGCTTTCATAAGAGCTGATCATCTGCAGTTGGGCCCATTTACTGTGGCTGATACACAGTCTTTAGTGGAATCCTCTAAAGATCGCTTTCTCAGTCCTGCTCATCATCAGGTAATTGTTTAGCTGTTTCGAAAAAGGTTTCTGTACCTCATTCCACGGCTGTGGGCACTTTATTGGATTGAGGTGGGTCATATAAGTCATAGTTCCATGTTCTGGATCAGGTAGTTGGGTTCTTCAGGGATTTCCTGTCAGGCAGAGTGACACTACCAACTGTTTTAGTAGATGGGTTGCCCATCTTCCTTGTCTCCAATCAAGAGCCATTGTTGGGGTTCCTCCTTGAACCCTATCTTCCCTATTCAGTCTAGCTTACTTCAGGAGTGCAGTACTTTTTCCCCATGCAGTTGTCTCCAATTTCTAGGATTCTTTCTGTGTTATCCCCATGAGATATTATACTGGAGGTTGTCAATACTTATTATATATATTGGGGGATTAATAGGGGGGAGATTGGGGGGATGTCTGGTCAGCCATCTTTATTCCTTCTGGGGGAAACTTTCCTTCTTTGGGGGATTCTGGGGGCAGAAGGCTTGGGCCTTCTTTCACTCATAGATCAGCTGGTCTTACTTGTGGACCTGTGTTTTGTCCAGCGTCCCCTGTAAGGATCTAATTTTGATGCAGGAAAATTTTCTAGAGTTATAGTTTTAAGATCTTATGATGCTCCACTTGGTGGTTGTTTTTGAACACATCTGTTGCTAGTGCAGGCTTAGTGTCACCTTCAGTGTAGTCATTCCCTTTTGGTTGTGATCCTCCCTTCCAGCTCTGAACATCAGGCTGATCCTCCGTGATCTTCCCTTGACGTTTGGAAAATCTTTTCTCCTGGAGAATTCACCCCTTCTGGTTCAGATTCAAGCATTGGTACTTCGGCTTGTCCTCTGTTGCAGACAGTTTCTGATTCCATGTTGGATACATCCGTGTATAAAACAAAAACAATAGTGAAGTGCCCCTAATTACAAATACTAAGATGCAGTGTTCAGTGATCAATCAAAAAAATAAAAAATTTCCAGAAAAACTATTTCTTCAGTGCATAATGCATGTAATAAAATTCAACGCGTATTTATTTCAGGTACTTTTATAGCGCCATCAATTTACGCAGCGCTTTACATACATATATTGTACATTCACATCAGTCCCTAACCCTCAAGGGGTATACAATCTAAGGTCCCTAACTCACATTCATACATACACATACTAGGACCAATTTAGACAGGAGCCAATTAACCTACCATATTATAGAAATCCTCACTGCATGTGTCAAAGCCAGTATTTTAAATACAAAAAAATATATATCTAAAAGTCTGTCAATTAAAATTGATATGTACAGAGTTTCAGAAAAAATCCCACAATGTGTATATAAAACACCTTCGCCATGCCTCACAATCTTCTTAGATATAAACTCCATCACTGTGTGTAAATGGCTATACTCGCACCTTAAGAGTGGGACCTTTCTGCATTACACAGAGGCCAAAACTGCATTTGGGTTATATCCCATCTCCCTTCCTGAGTGTTCTATTAAGGCTTTAAGGGCATCGAAGTCCTTGCGTGTAGGTCGTTTTTCATGTAGACTCAAAAGCTCATAATAGAGAAAAAAAAACCTCCAATATTGAAGAAGAAATCTTTTAACTTTATTATGCTAAAAAAATGTGTACACCCACAGCATATCTCTTTAAAAACAGCTCTCACAGAAGTACACATGGATTAGCAAACCAGTAATCCATAATGGCATCAGAGCTCTGTCTACCATGATGGCATCATAAGCTCCTCCCCTACCAGACTTTAATTCATGTATTTTTTTTCTCTGCAGGTCTGTTCACAATGAGCTAGAGAAACATAGGTGAGTAACTACGTAATACTAAGCTTCTATAAACTCACGTTATCAAAGGGCTTTGTAGACCTGTGTCTATAGGTGCTACCTTTTGAGGTGCTAGCTCAAGGAGCCCCTTCTCCCAGTTTTAAAGAGAATAAGCGTTGTTTTTTTTTTGGGTGCAGGCTTTATGGCTGTCATCCCAATCCCTGCTTCAGTATCAATTATGTCTTTGACCTAGAATAGGGCACCACTGGTAAAATGGTTGTGCCAGGTCAGCAAGGATGAGGATGAAAGCTGTGGAACCTGCACTTCTACAATTCCAAGCAGCAAAGGCCGCTTCATTTTCAGGTTTACTTTTAATTCTCTTTTCTAAGCTGACCCTAGTAGCTTTAAGGCTTTCTTAAAGGACGGCTGTACCTTTGTATATTTGTCCTTAACCACTTCCCCGCCGCCCTATAGCAGATAAACTGCACCAGGGGTGTGCAAAATCACGTATATATACGCGATTTTGCATTTCCGGGTAGGGGGAGCACATGAACCGCCCGCGGCTGTCAATCACCGGGTCGCGGCCAGTGATTACATGCCGGCGCCCGGTGATTACCGAGGATCTCCGACGGGGAGGAGGGCTGCTTTGTTTACCAACAGTCCTCCCTGTCGGCTCAGGCACACTGCTCTGGATGCCTGTGCACATCAGTCATCCAGAGCAGTGTCCATGCAGTGAAGCACCAACACACCGCCCCCCAGTAAAACACAGTTAACCCTTTGATCACCCCTCATGATAACCCATTTCTGCCCAGTGCCATTAGTACATTGTCAGTGCTTTTTATTAGCACTGATCACTGTATTGGTGTTATTGGGGATGTCAGTGACACCAAGTCAGTTCCCCCCAGTGTCAGAATGCCTGCCTCAGTCCTGCTATAAGTCGCTGATCGCCACCATTATTACTAAAAAAAAATAAAATTCCAGTATCTATACCGCCATTTGTAAATGCTATAACTTTCACGTAAACCAATTTAATTTACACTTATTGAGATTTTATTTTTTTTTTTTTTAGTAAAGACCTGTAGCAGAATACATTTTGGCCTAAATTTATGATGAAATTTATGTTTTTAAATGTTATTACTTGACATTTAATAGCAAAAAGTCAAAAATATTGTTTTTTTCTCAAAATTGGTGGTCTTTTTTTTTTTTCTCTTATAGCGCACAAAAAAAAACGCACAGGCGATCAAATACCACTGAAAGAAAACTCAATTCGTGGGAAAAAAAAAGGACGTAAATTTTGTCTGGGTGCAGCGTTGCATGACTGCGCAATTGTCAGTTAAAGTAACAAAGCGCCATAACGTAAAAAAACTGGCCTGGTCAGGAAGGGGGGTAAATCCTCAGGAGGGCAAGTGGTTACCTAAATTCCCACGTGTCTTCCCCTCCCCCTTTCCCAGTACATCCCACTATGGAAAATCTGTACTCAAAGCAACTGCTGGAGGCTGCCATGAGTACAGTTTTCTCATAAGAATGAATGCAGCTATGGTACATGTGTGCAGTACAAAGTGGCTGTTTTTGGGAGAAAGGCCATGCAGCTCTGGGTGGGGCCCACAGTGAAGATCAGGGAAGTATTTTCCTTAGTGAGATGCACTTAGGGGGTGGGGTAAATTTATTTAAGGGCAATTGTACAAAATACAGTTTTACTATAAGGTATGGAGTGTGCACACTCAGCCATTCAGAATTATTGGTGTGTGTCTATGTCCGTCCTGAAAATGTTTTAGCTACAGCAGGATTGTGACACGTCTTTATCCTCCTATGGTTTTCTGATTACAGGAGAGCACAGCTACGGAGATGCTTGGAACAACTGAAGCAACAAGTTCCTCTGAGTGTGGACACATCACGACACACAACACTCAGCCTCTTGCACAGAGCCAGACAGCACATCAAAGTGAGTCCATGCAACAGTGGTTTTCTGTGCCCAAGTAACATTAACAGATATCTGTATAAAGGTCACAGTGAATTAAGAGAACTAAACCCGAGAATACAGATTTATTATACTGCAGCTTTCCAGTTTTTAGATGTGACTGCTGCATTAGTCTTCATTTTTAAGCTAAGAACATTTATGGCTTGTACAGAAAACTAGAGCTCTTCCCAGAAATACAATTTTGTTGTCACTTCCTGTGAGCTAAACTGAACCAAAAGAAAAAAAATATCTGATCCTTCTTCTGTAAACTAGTGCTTTCCCTATCCCCCATGTCATGGAGATGGTCAAAGGCAGGCATATATAGCAACCATGGCTTCTTCTATAGATACAGTGGAGAAGTGATTGTAGCCACCAGGGATGGGAAATGTGTTACTTGCAGGATTACCAGCTGAACATCAGGATAAAAGGACTGAAAACTAATTTCATCCACCATATCTAAAGGCTGATAAGTTTCAAAATTTTTACATTTATATTTTTTTGTTTAGATACAAATTCAAGGTACAATCATACATCATAATTTTTCATTTAAAGAGGAACCAAAGGTCCTTCCTACCTATGCCCCCACTGCCCAGAAGATCCACGTTGACCTGCTATGGTCCACCAAGTCGCTGCAAATAAAAAAGTTACATTTTTAATTGCAGAGGAGGGGAGGAGAGCAATGATACAAGGTCATCCACTTGGGTGAAAGTCCACTTTAAACTGCTGTTTGTGATATGCTGGAGGCTCTGACATTGTTAACAGTGGAAATCACATTGTTGCTGAATGTATCTATGTTACAGTATCAGATTATTTCTTTCTAGTTCACAATGAACTCCTATATTACACATGTGAAGCACACACACGTCCACTTCTTTGAGATGACATTTGTGCTCTGAGAGTGAACCCTTTATATACAAAAGGGCCGTCATCTGTATTTTTGTATTACCAGTTTATGTAAATGCCACTGTTGACCTAGTTTTGTCTTGCTAATGATTTGATGGGGCCAAATCAGGTCTGCACTGTTGACTATCCTGCTTTTGAACTGTAAGTCTTTGGTCACACCAAATCCAACTTGGAAATCATGCGACTTTCACTTGAATTCACACAATTTCAAAGTCGGTTGTCAGTCTGACTTCAGGTGCAACTTGCAAAAAGTAGTGCATGAGGTTTTCAAAATAAAAGAATGCTGCAAAGTTAAAAGCTGCCATTAATAATACCAATTTATCACACTGGGGAGTCCATTCATAGCATGTCACTTTATATTCCACACAATAATTGGAATGCATGTGAGGCAGGTTTTGGTCCAGGAGTGCTGAACCTCCCCTTCCCCATTGTATGTGCATTTTATGTGTACCCAGAAGTATTGTAGTTTGGTCACTACATACTGTTTATACTTATTTTTAAATTATATATTCTGGAAAAAAATTTATTTAGCGCTACACTTTTTTGTATTAATTTAGTCACTTCACCTAATAGGTTTATAAGGTTAGTGTCAGCGGCTTCTAGGGTCAGGGCTCTATTTCAAGCGCAGGAGGATTTTTCTTTATTTCTTGGACAGTATTAAACAGACTTTGAGTCTGTTTTCATGTGCCTACCTCCTGCTCTGATCTGGTCCACTAAAAAAAAAATGGATGAGGATCTGTCCTCTTCCGTTTAGGCTGATTGAAAGGTACATGCATTCCTATGGACAGGTGGGTGTAAACAGACTTGTGTCTGTTTACACCCGCCTACTTCTGGGTCCGATGTGGTCTGTTAAAAACAATGGACGGGAACCGTCCTTTTCCATTTAGGCGGATCAGCTCGGAGGGTAGTCGGATGTAAATGGACAGTAGAGTCTGTTTACACCTTGCTGCCCATTGAGCAAGGTGGGCTTTGTCCATGTCCACTCTGCATAAACTGAACGGACATGGATGTGTCATCCACTCCTCTGCTCTGATCAACAGGTGATCTGATCCCCTGCTAATTGGAACGGAATCCATTCTGTGTGAAAGAGGCCTAAATGAGATTCACATGTTCGCTCCTAATAAATAAATATATTTATATTTAATTGTAACCAATTTAAATACTAAATGAAGAATGTTAAAGACCACTCCACCTCTGGGAAAAGAAAATCCTCCCTTGCAGTGGGGGCTGCCCCTGCATTTCAAGAGTCTAAATGCTTGTTTACATCTTGGGGCAGGGAAAAGCACTTTTCCATACCTGATCCTCTGCTCCTGCAGCAGCTGGAGCTCTGCTATGCTCCACCAGTGAACTGTTTCTTGGCACCCTCATGTCCAGTGCAGGACTAATGGGCCCTGCATCCGTTTTTATGAGATGTAGCAGATAGTGTGGGGACCGATTTTGTAGCATGGAACATCGGGTAAGTTTAAAATGCTTTTCTTGTCCTAGACCTAAACAAGAATTTGACTTGTGCAACGTGGGAGGGCAGCCCCACTGCAAGGGAAGATTATAACTTTCCTGGAGTTCAGCTGTAAAGAAAAGAAATTACTTTATTTGTAATTCAATATCATGTCCTGGGTAATTGTTGATTTTTTTTTATTGCTGACTGGGAGAAATGGCAGCAAGTACGGCATTTGTGCCTTTTTTTTTTTTTTTTTTTTAAGAACTGGGTGGTAGTTCTCCAACCGTGTGGGTTCTACCCCCACATTGCCAGTAGATCCCCAGTCCTTTTACTGATGTTTTACTGATGTGAGATACTATCAGGCCCAGTTCCCAGCTGAGATTTTTTTTTAGGTTTAGGTATACTTTTCATATTTGGTTTATGGAGATATGAGACTTCAAGTCTGTCATTTTGTTTTAAGAATTCCACAGTTTTTATTTGAAATGGTAAATGCAAAAATTCATAATTCTTGAAAAATTATTTTTTTTTCTTCTGTGCATTTTGATTACAGGAACCTGAATGTTTGTTTGCATTTATTACTATAAATCCACCTTTCTCAACCAGGGTGCCTTGAGGTTTCTTCAGGGGCGCCTTGGCAAAATGTCTAAAAATTGCCAAAACTTGTATACAAGCCAGCGGGTGCCTTCTAGTTACACAAAGCCACAGGTTTTCATTGCATACCATTACAACCTTCTAGCCACCGGCATCCTGACAACCAATGACATCAATTGATAAGGAGGATATCAGCTGCCTGCACAGCATCCTAGTTTGACTCTCCCCTGCCCTTCCATCAGTGCTGGGGTCACATTAGCTGAGTGATGGAGGAAAATTGAGGGAGAAGAGAAACATTGGAATATTAGTCAGAATATTAGTCAGTACCAGTGTGCAAAAGTGTATTTGCTTTGGAAGAATAAATCACCTCTAATGTTGGGTGTCTTATGTGTGTGGATGTTGCTGCGTTATACAAAACTATTAGAATAGTTGTTCACATTTTAGAATGGGGTGCCTTATGACTTTCCATAATTTTAAAGGGTGCCTGGGCATGTCCATAATTTTAAAGGGTGCCTTGACTGAAAAAAGTTGAGAAACCCTGCTGTAAATAATGCTGATAGCCGATAGATCCGGTGCATTGCCATACATTGTGACAATGCACAAGCGTGAATGAGTTTCAGCTTCCAAAAAAAAAAAACTTTTTAACAAAGTTGTTAATCAATTGGTGTTTTGCTTACTTGTTTGATACTCTTTTGCTGCCTTCTAATAATAGGTAACTTCCTTTGTCCATAGCTGAACATGCTGAATGGAGAGTTGAGAAGGTGGAATAGAGTTCCAGACAGGAAATTTTATTTTGATAAATAGTTTTTATTAGTTTACAGTGATAACAGTGAACAGCTATACACTTTTACTGGGTTCATATAAGCACTCAGCACACATAATATAAAGGATTGTTCACATCGATCACAGATGAATGTAACCTCTAAACATTATCTAGTTTCCTATAACATAGAGTGCCCATAGGTTCTGTACAGACAAAGACATGTTCCATAATAGCTAACCCAATTGTTCACAATGAAACACAGTAAAAGAAAAAAAGAGGAAGAAGAAAGAGAAAAATAAAAAAGGAAGAAAACCTGTTCTGTCAAAAGGTGAAAAAGATCCTTTAGAACAGTGGTACTCAACCGGACCCTTTAATACAGTTCCTCATGTTGTGGTGACCCCCAACCATAAAATTATTTATCCAGTAATTATAATTCATGTGTCGTTTTAAACACAGTAGCTGCTTTTAACAGAGTAGCTGCTTTCACCACAGCAGCTGCTTTCTACACAGTAGCTGCTCTTTACACATCGGAAATATGTGTTTTCTGATGGTCTTAGGCGACCCCTGTGAAAAGGAATGTTCGACCCCCAAAGGGGTCGCGACCCACAGGTTGAGAACCACTGCTTTAGAAGAACTATTTATTGTTCACCAGAGATGTACTGTAACCAGGGGTGACATGTTTTTTCAAATAAACACATCTTTAATTATCAGCCATTTTATGACTGATAATTGGAACTTTTGTTCTTGATCATGAATGTGACCAAAGGGAAGCATGGTTATATTAACCAATCGGAGAAACATTCTGGTCACAAATCTGTATGGAAACAGCTGCAAGAAGAAATGGTGGTTATGCCCTCCTAACTAGGGAGACCTAACTAGAGGGCATGAACAATTGCAAGGTCAGGAGGGTATTAAGCAGTGCTGCATCATTATTTGTGTAGTGAGATTCCCAAGTATTGTAAGGATTACCATTATAAACAAAAATCCCTTTTTATTGCATCATTTTTTTTTGTAGAAGTTGGAGGATCAGGAGCTAAAAGCAAAGCATCTTAAGGAAAAACTGAGATCAGAACAGCAGAGGCTCCGCCAGAGATTAAAACAACTTCTACCCTCCAATGGCACTGAACGAATCCGAGCTGATAGCCTAGACTCCTCTGCCTTATCATCTGAGAGATCAGATTCTGATCAAGGTAAGTACTGACAAAAAAGGGTAGGGATGGTCCAACTCTGTGGTGTACCACACAAGTAACTTACAGCACTTCTTCTTTTTTTGTTTGCAGAGGATTTGGAGGTTGATGTGGAAGGAATAATCCTGAATGGTAATGAAGGAGACCTCTTTGTGTCTTTCAGTGCTGGCATGGAGCACAGTTACTCCACTCCTGCTCATGCCTGGTTATGACAGCAGCAAGCATGCAAAGACTTCTACAGCAGTAACAAGTTTTAGCTAGCAATCTCGGTAGCAGAAACACTTGTATTTTCTCTCCAAGAAGTGAGGGTGCAATGGTTGCATTAACTACCCTATTGTACAGGGGAACCCAGTGTTTTCATAGCAGCTATTTTTAAATCGTGGACTTCTGCTACTGTCTTTATATGTTTATTTTAGACTCTTGGTAAGTACTTTTAAATGGTGGGGTATACGCCAGTAATGCTATGGTCACTGGATACTTTCTGTTCAGCTACTACACCATTTAGTTACATGGATAAGTTTCAGGTCATTAGTTAAAGTATATATTACGAGCTGTGGGGCTGGACAGCTTTCTTAGAGAAAGATGTTTAGATACATGACCCTGACTGGACTATCTGGCCCAGAAGACTTGCGGTCAATGCTGGAAGATGACCTTGAGCATTAAGTAACCAGCAACTGGTGCTACTGTGATTACCTAACTTATTGTACAAAATCAGTGCTAGGAAATCTTTTTCCACCTCTCTGTGCACTGGTTGCACTCCTGGATGCGTGTAAAGAAGCACTTAATTATGTGTGCACTTGAAGAAGCACTATTAAAACATCTTTATTTTTGATCCTCAATCTGATCACTTGGATGATGCAGGACACCTGAAGATTTTGTCAATGCCATTCTTGCATTCTCACACCAAATAAACTTGCATAACCCTCTGCAAAAAAAAAAAGATAAAACTTTATAAATCATCAATTTTTGCATTGTATTTTTAAGCCTGTGGGAGGGGGTTTCGGTGTTTACAGAATGGATTTTAAATTGCGAAACCTTTTCAATGTTACCTGTGCTTGCTGAAGAAAGCAAGCATCTTGCTCAGGCCTGGACTAGCTGTTTTATTAAGACACTTGGAGGATAATGAACTGTCCTCATTCCTAACAGGGACTGAACAATCTTTATACCAGGTGCAGCCTACTTACATTCCGGAGCTCAGCTGACATTTTTAATATACAAGTGTCGGCACTGAGCAAAGAGATCTGCTTCTCTAAATAAGCTTTTTATATTGTAACCTCTATTTTAGTAAATGTGTTTTGTTCTGTAAAATTGCTTTTGTCTTATTTCTATACACTGGGTGTTATGTCGTATTTTTCATGTTCATCTAGTCTTGACCTTCCTAATATTCCAGTGGGCCAAAGTAACTGCATTGTAGCTAATGGAAAAAAAAAAAAAAAAAAAGCAGAAGCTCTGACATGGACATAAGCCTGTTTATGGGCCAGTTCACACCACTTACAGTCCAGTGTATTGTTTTTTTTGTTTTTGTTTTTTTCTACATCAAAAACATATTGACAGTAGGTTACATGGTTTCCAATGGCATAGTTCACATCAGTGCAGTCAGTTCCACTGAACTGTACTGTACTGGAACCAGGGCTGTGGATAAGGGGGTATCACCAGTCCTGCTGTACGGGCCCAGGCCAGCAGGGGGTCCCAGGCAGCTCGGCGAATCAGATGTGCACAGGGAGGGTGAATGGCAAGATGGGGGGCAGTTGCTGGAGCCGATCACCTGTATGGCTTTCTCTACAGCAGCTGAAAGCTGGCTTCCTCTCTTCTCCCTCTTGCTGGCTTTAAGCTGCTGCAGCGAGAGCCGTACAGGATCAGTTCCAGTAATTGCCCCCCCCCCCCCCCTCCCCCCAGCATACCCATCACCCTCCCTGTGCACCATACATTTCCCCCTGCTTCCCAGGCCCCTCCTGTGTGCCCCAAATCCCCAGAGTGCTGTTGGCTTCCCTCTCTTTTCCACTGGCAGAGCTGCAAGCACACAATAGGATCTGCAAGCACACAAAATGTCACATTTACCAGCCCCTTCCTTTCCTGAATGAATACAGTGAGTGATACATATCGGTCACTCGCTGTGTTCATTCCCAACTCCAGCATAATAAACTGTGCATCAAAAACGCGACAAACGCATCCGGACTGCATTTCTATGGTGTGAACTGGCCTTAAAAATCCTAAAATGTTCTGTTCTGCACCCTCTGGAATCACTGGATGATTTTCTCTTTACACGGAGGCAGTTATCACACCACCCATCTAGACTATTATCTGTACACAGTTTATTAATACACTGCTCAAAAAACTTATAAAGGAACACTTTGAAACACATCAGATCTCAATGGGGAAAAAAATCTCATGCTGGATATCTATACTGATATGGACTGGGTAATGTGTTAGGAATGTAAAGATGCCCCATCCTTTGATGGAAATGAAAAATGATCAACTTACAGAGGACTGAATTCAAAGATACCTTGAAAATCAAAGTGAAAAAAATTATGCAGCAGGCGAGTCAATTTTACTGAACTTTCATTGCAGCAACTCAAAATAGTACTCAGTAGTTTGTATAGCCCCCACGTGCTAGTATGCATGTCTGACAACATGCTCCTAATGAGACGACGGAGGGTGTCCTGGGGTATTTCCTTCCAGATCTGGACCAAGGCATCACTAAGCAGTCTGAGGTGCAACCTGGTGGCAGCAGATGGACCGAAACATGATATCCCAGAGGTGTTCTATTGGATTTAGGTCAGGCGAGCGTGGGGGCCATTCAATGGTATCAATATCTTCATCCACCAGGAACAGCCTGCATACTCTCGCCACATGAGGCCGGGCATTGTCGTGCACCAGGAGAAACCCAGGACCCACTGCACCAGCGTAGGGTCTGACAATGGGTCCCAATACCTAATGGCAGTCAGGGTGCTATTGTCTCTCCTGTAGAGGTCTGTTCATCCCTCCATGGATATGCCTCCCCAGACCATCACTGGCCCACCATCAAAACAGTCACGCTGAACGATGTTACAGGCAGCATAATGTTTTCCACGGATTCTCCAGACCCTGTCACATGTGCTCAGGGTAAACCTGTTCTCATCTGTGAAAAGGGGAAACGAACTCTCCTGCGCTCTGAGACCCAGGTGGGTGGCGAATGGATGGAACCAGAACTGGAAAGTTTGACCACCAGTGCATATAGGGTTGTGCAGCTCCAAACAAGGCTGGGGAAGCCCGAAGCGCACCAACCTTGCACATTACCTCAGTAACCAAAATTTATTAAACACAAAATGATACAAACGGCGAAATAAGTCAGCCATGTAAGTCCTCAGAGGAACTTGAAAGGTAGGAAGCCTGCGCGAGTCCCATCATAGAGGTAGACACTCAGCGTACAGCTGACGCGCTTCAAAGGGCATCCCTTCTTCATCAGAGCTAACTGAACTAGGAGTGCTCACTCCCATATATACCCAAGAACTGAAGTTTGGCCCTCCCCTCTGGGTTGGGCAGTCTCAGGCTGGGAGGAGGGGCCAAGGTGTCATCAGAATAAATAAACAATATATTTGTGATGCCATCATAGAAGTATAATACATTATAAAATTCAATTTAGATTAAAATACATTAAATTACACGTTAAAAATAATAATGAATACATTGCATGAGAAAGAAAAACAGAAATTTGAAATAATTAAATTATTAATGAACGGTGTTTAAAATGGGCAATTCATCTGGAGAGCTAGGTATAATTTAATAAATGATATATATACAGTTGCAAGAAAAAGTATGTGAACCCCTTGGGATTACGTGGAGTTTTGCATGAATTGGGCATAAAATGTGCTCTGAACGTCATTTAAGTCACAACAATAGAAGAACACAGTCTGCTGAACATAATACTACACAAACATTAGATGTTGCCATGGTTTAATTGCACATAACATGTAAACATTCACAGTGCAGGGAGGAAAAAGTATGTGAGGCCCTAGCTTAATGACTTCTCCAGGAGCTAATTGGAGCCAGGAGTGAGCCAACCTTGACTCCAATCAGTGTGATGATATTGGATGTGTTGCTGACAGCTGTCCTGCCCTTAAAAAACACACACCTGTTTTGGGTTTACTGGTTTCAAGAAGCACTGTCTGATGTGAACCATGCCTCGCAGAAACGAGCTCTCAGAAGACCTACGATCAAGAATTGTTGACATGCATGAAGCTGGAAAGGGTTACAAAAGTATCTCCAAAAGCCTTGATATTCATGTGTCCATGGTAAGACAGACTGTCTACAAATGGAGAAAGTTTAGCACTGTTGCTACTCTCCCTAGGCGTGGTCATCCTGTAAAAATGACTGCAAGAGCACAGCGCAGAATGCTGCATGAGGTAAAGAAGAATCCCAGAGTGTCAGCTAAAGACCTACAGAAATCTCTGGCACATGCTAACATTTTTGTTGACACATCTACAATAAGGAAAACATTAAACAAGAATGGAGTACATGGGAGGACACCACGGAGGAAGCCATTGCTGTCCAAAAAGAATATTGCAGCACGTTTGAAGTTTGCAAAAGAGCACCTGGATGTTCTACAGCACTACTGGCAAAATATACTGTGGACAGATGAAACCAAGATTGAGTTGTTTGGGGAGAACACACAACACTATGTGTGGAGAAAAAAAGGCACAGCACACCAACATCAAAACCTCATCCCCACTGTAAAACATGGCATAGGGAACATCATGGTTTGGGGCTGCTTTGCTGCCACAGGGCCTGGACAGATTGTTGTCATTGATGGGAAAATGAATTCCAGAGTTTATCAAGACATTGTGCAGGAAAACGTACAACCATCTGTCCGCCAACTGAAGCTCCGCAGAGGATGGGTGATGCAACAGGACAATGACCCAAAGCATACAAGTAATTCAACAAAACAATGGCTGTAACAGCACAGAATACGCCTTCTGGAGTGGCCCAGTCAGAGTCCTGACCTCAACCCGATTGAAATGCTGTGGCATGACCATAAAAGAGCGATTCACACCAGACATCCCAAGAATATTGCTACACTGAAACAGTTTTGTGAAGAGGAGTGGTCCAAAATTACTCCAGATCGTTGTGCAGGTCTGATCTGCAACTACAGGAAACGTTTGGTTGAGGTTATTGCTGCCAAAGGAGGGTCAACCAGTTATTAAGTCCAGAGGTTCACATACTTTTTCCTCCCTGC